ATCACTAAACCAGACCTCCCAGCACCACATCAACCCGGCTTTTGAACACCTCCAGGGATGGGGCCTCAACCCCCTCCCTGGGCAGCCCATTCCAAGGGCTGAGAACCCTTTCAGGGAAAAAATTGTTCCTAATATCCAGCCTGAACCTCCCCTGGGGCAACTTGAGGCCATTTCCTCTTGTCCTGTTGCCTGTGACTTGAGAGAAGAGCCCGACCCCCACCTCTCTACACCCTCCTTTCAGGGAGTTGGAGAGAGCAAGAAGGTCTCCCCTCAGCCTCCTCTTCTCCAGGCTGAATAATCTCTTCCCCTCCAGCTTAACGTTTGCTCCTCAATCAGCTCTTGGGGAGGGTAAAATTCAAGGGGTGGGAACGTCAATCCCTGGAAAACTCTCACCCCTTGGTTTTCTCTTCCCCAGGGAAGATCCTCACGGATGACTTTGCCGACAAAGAAGGGTTGGAGATGGGCGATGAGTACTTTGCCAACCTGGACCACATCGAGAGCGTGGAAAACTTCAAGGAGGGCTACGAGAGCGACGCCAAGTGCTCCTCCGACAGCAGCGGGGTGGACCTCAAGGAGGAGGAGGAGGAAAACACGGGCACGGAGGAGCAGGAGGAGTCCAACGAGGACAGCTCCGACGACAACTTCTGCAAGGACGAGGACTTCAGCACCAGCTCGGTGTGGCGCAGCTACGCTACGCGCCGGCAGACGCGGGGCCAGAAGGAGAACGGGCTGTCGGAAACGGCCTCCAAGGACTCGGGGCTCACCCGGCAAATCAGCCACGAGGAGCCGGCGGGGGCTGCCTCCTGTAAGCTCCCGGTGTCGGAGGAGACCTCCAAGAACAAAGTGGCCTCCTGGTTGAGCTCCAACAGCGTGTCCGAGGGCTTCCAGGACAACGACAGCACCTCCTCCTTCAAGATGAGCGAAGGTGGTGAAGCCAAGGTGGGCAAAATGGAGCAGCTCCCTGGTGAGAGAGAGAAACCTTCTGCTTCTGCCCCGGGCAACGTGGACGGAGAGTCGAAGGCCTTGAAGAAAGATGTAAGGGAGGGCTGTGGGCCTTGGGGCTGAGGCTTGTCCCCTGCCTTGGGGACACGGGTGAGGGAATGGAGACGTGTCTCAGATGACTTCTCTGCCCCTACAACGTGACAGGGTGGTGTCCCTTGGTGTCCCCTTGCCCCCGTTTCCTGGGCTGTGGTGGGGCAGGGAGGTGTCTTCCCCCCTTCCTGGGGGAAGCTGTGGCACAAGAGGCCACAAAGATGTCACCTGGCATGAGGTGATGAGCTGAACATCCCTCCTGCCTGGGTTCCTGAGGTGACCTGGGGGGTGTTTGGATGGGGTTGGGGACAAGGGGGACGTGGAGGTGGTCCCTGTCCCCTGCAGAGGGGACTTTAAGACCCACCGTGTGGGATGTGAAGGGGGGATCCCTGTGGTCTTGACCCTTCTGGAGCACCCCCTGGACCGGGTGTCACACTGAGGGGTGGGGACACCCGGGGTGGTGTTTGGGGAGCGTTTCCACAGAAAGGCTGAAGATTTCTCCCAAAGGGGAGGGAGATTTTAACCTCCTGTCCCTCTCCCCTCCGCAGGAACCTGACGATCCGACCAAAATCCCCGGGTAAGGCTCCTTAAATTGCATTTTCCTGCTTTTTATTCCCAAACGAGCGAGTTGCCGTGACTCTGGGGCTGCCACTGGGAGCTCGGGAGGGTTTGGGGACGGGAGGCTTGTCCGGCTGCTGGAGCTGCCATCATCATCCTCTCTCATTCCCCCCTCCTGGCCCAGGCTGAGCGACGTGGGACGGCTCTACGGCTACAACCCCAGCCCCCCCAAACTGGAGGGGATCCGCCGGCCCATGAGCAAGACAGCACTGCTGCAGAGCAGGAGGCACTCCCTGGCCCCACAGCCCCCCACCGATGTAAGCCCCCCCCCACAACCAACCCTGGGGGCCTGGCGCTGCCCCAGTTCCAAACTGGGATGAGAAAGGGGAGTTTTCGAGGCCTTTGGGTTGTTTCTCTGCCCTTTTCATCCCCCGGTTGAGCACCAGTGTGGGGTTTGTGGATCCTCGTGGTGATTTCCTAGAGGGGGGGGTGATGTTCTTCAGCCACGGGGGGGTCTTTCATGGTTCTGAAAGCCCCAAAGAAGAGGATGGAGTGGTGCTGGGCCATGGGTTGTAGTGGGATTTCTCATTCCCAGCACACCCGGGGACCCACTGCTCGGCAGAAACCATCCTGGGGGATGCTTTTTGCTTTTTGGGGGGGTCTGCTCCCTTGCAGAGCCCCTCGTGGTGCAGGGTCATGAATCCCTGGCAGTCTGGGTGCTGCAGGACCCCCCCCAGACCCTGCTGCTGTTTCAAACAGGGGTTTCTGCCCCGTTCCAGCTCCGATTGCAGCGTCCGCGCGTGCCATCCCCTTCGAAAGGGCTTCCTGGAGCAAAAAGGAGAAACAAAATGCTTCTGGGAGGGAAAAAAAGGGAGCTTGGGGAGGGATGGGGAGGGCTGGAGGGATGCTCTGCCCTGCCCCTGACCCGGGGGGTGTTTCTGCCTCCCCGCAGGACGTGCTGACCCTCTCCAGCAGCACGGACAGCGAGGGGGAGAACGGGCAGGCGGCGGCGGGACAGGGCACCCAGGGCACCACCAACGACAGCGACGACATCCAGACCATCTCCTCGGGCTCCGAGGAGGAGGAAGGGGACGACAAGAAAAACCTCTCCTCTGGGTCAGGTGAGGGGAGGGGGATGGGCAGAGACAGAGTGAGAAATTCCAGCCAGAAACCCCCAGGATTTCTGGGGCTGGGGAGGATGTAGGAGCCGAGAGCGTGGTGTGTCCTGCTCCAGGCACCTCCGAGGTCTCTAAGGACCAAGGTCTGAAGCTTCTCCTTGTGCTGTTTGAGACGTGTCCACAAAACCCAGTCCTCCAGAGTCAATATTTGTGGATATCTAGTGGGAGGTGTCCCTGCCCATGGCAGGGGGGTTGGAACTAGATGATCTTTAAGGTCCCTTCCAACCCAAACCATTCTATGATTCTATGATTCTATGATATTTAAGAAAAAGCAACCATGAGGCTTGTTATGGTGGGTCTCCAAGCTCTGCTGGGCTGAGCCAAGAGCTGGGAGAGCCCCAGAACCACCCCCCAGATCTGAGATACACGGGGGTGACAAACCCCTTGGGGACGTGAGAGAGGAGGAGCCTTTTTTTGGGTGCCTGGGGTTCCTGGAGAGTGACAGAGTCCCCCTTTGCCCCTCGGCAGGTCCGGTGAAGAGGCAGGTGGCGGTGAAATCCACGCGGGGCTTCGCCCTCAAGTCCACGCACGGCATCGCCATCAAATCCACCAACCTGGCGGCGGCTGAGAAGGGGGAGAGCGCGCCCGTGCGCAGGACCACGCGCCAGTTCTACGACGGGGAGGAGTCCTGCTACATCATCGACGCCAAACTGGAGGGGAACCTGGGCCGGTACCTCAACGTGAGTCACCCTCGGCAGGGAAGGGACCTTTTTGGGATGACCTGTCCCTTCAATGAATGGGCAGTTCCTCCCCAGGAGTGGAGAAATGAGAGCAAATGCAAGGTTCTGCACCTGGGCCGGAAGAATCCTCACCACCAATACAAACTGGGGGGGGAGGGATTGGAAAGCAGCCCTGAGGAAAGGGACTTGGGGGTGCTGGTGGAGGAGAAGCTGGACATGAGCAGGCAGTGGGCAGCTGCAGCCCAGAAGGTCAATCCCATCCTGGGCTGCATCAAAAGCTGCGTTGCCAGCAGGTCCAGAGAGGGGATTCTGCCACTTTGCTCTGCTCTGGTGAGACCTCACCTGGAGTATTGTGTGCAGGTCTGGAGCCCTCAATAGAAGAAGGACATGGACCTGATGGAGAGGGTCCAGAGGAGGGCCACGAGGATGATGAGGGGGATGGAGCACCTCTGCTCCGAGGACAGGCTGAGGGAGCTGGGGTTGTTCAGCCTGGAGAAGAGGAGGCTCCGGGGAGACCTAATAGCAGCCTTCCAGTACCTGAGGGGGGCCTACAGGAAGGCTGGGGAGAGCCTGTTTAGAAAGGGCTGCAGTGACAGGACGAGGGGCAATGGCTTCAAGCTGGAGGGGAACAGCTTTAGACTGGAGATGAGGAGAGGGTTCTTCACTGGGAGGGCGGTGGAGCACTGGGACAGGTTGCCCAGGGAGGTGGTTGAGGCCCCTTCCCTGGAGATATTCAAGGTGAGGCCTAGTGAGGCCTGATGAGGCCTTGGGCAACCTGGTCTAGTTGGGGGTGTCCCTGCTGACTGCGGGGGGGTGGGACTAGATGGCCTTTGGAGGTCCCTTCCAGCCTGGGCAATTCTATGATTCTATGAAATACGGTGGAAAAAAGCAGAGAAAACAGCAGGATGGGGAGGATTGTTATTTTTTTCCCCCCTCTCTGAGTGAAATGGGGCGGCTGCTCCGTCCCCGTGACGCAGGACGGGGCTGGCTCAGTCCTTCCAGCGGCCGGTACCTTTGTGAGCCTGGGTTTTCTGACTCATCCCAGGGAGGGAGGGGGGCAGGGGGGAGGGAGCAGCAGAGAAAAAAGTGTTTATAAAAGCCTTGGTGTTTCACGGCCGGGGCCTGGCTCAGCCCCTGCCTCTCCTTCCCTCCCCCAGCATAGCTGCAGCCCCAACCTCTTCGTGCAGAACGTCTTCGTGGACACGCACGATCTCCGCTTCCCCTGGGTCGCCTTCTTCGCCAGCAAGTGAGTTTTTGGGGGGTCCAGGAAAGGGTTTGAGGGGTCACAGGGCTTGGATGGGGTTTTCCTCCTCTTGGGAACCTCCCGCGGTGGGGAGAGGATGGGAAGGATTAGAGGGAAGAGTGTGGCCAGGAGGTGGAGGGAGGTCGTTCTCCCCCCTCTGCTCTGCACTGGGGAGGCCACAACTGGAATCCTGTGTCCAGTTCTGGGCTCCCCAGTTCAAGAGGGACAGGGAACTGGTGGAGAGAGTCCAGTGTGGGGCAACGGAGATGATGGAGGGGTTGGAGCATCTCCTGGATGAGGAAAGGCTGAGAGAGCTGGGGTTGGAGAAGAGAAGGCTGAGGGGAGACCTTATTAAATATCTAAAGGTTGGGTTGAAGGAGGATGGAGCCAGACTCTTCTCAGTGGTTCCCAGTGACAGGACGAGGGGCAACGGGCACAAACTGGAAGATGGGAAGTTCCATCTCAACATGAGGAGGAACATCTTAGGGGTGAGGGTGGCAGAGCCCTGGCAGAGGCTGCCCAGGGAGGGTGTGGAGTCCCCTTTTCTGGAGATCTCCAAGCCCCAATGGATGCTCCTGAGTGCTGTGCTCTGGGCAAGGAGGAGTTGGACCAGATGGGCTCTAGAAATTCCCTTCCAACCCCAACAATTCCCTGATTCCATCACGGGAGAGGAGTTGGGTGAGGACCCTTCTTCCTGCGGTGGAGATTCTGCTGCCGTTTGCATCGGATTTAGGGGTGCAAAGGGGGGGTGAAGCAGGGGGTGGGTGGCCCCCCCAGCTTGTTTGGGTCCTGAACCTCCAGGCGTCACTGGGGGATGGTGAATCCCTGCCACGTGTCTTCTCCTCCTGTGAAGCCCCACGGGAGTGATTTAGGGGGAACTTTGTCCCTTTGCTGGCGGTGGCTTCCCCCTTGTCCCGGGGGAGGCCGGACCGCGCCGCCCCGGT